GCATCCCTGTGCGTGTGTGTGAGCACAGCCTGCGTCTCCAGGAGAGGAAGGGAGGGAGGTGAAGAAAACAGTTTTACTGCCAGCATTGTTCCACAATCACATCCCTCCGTCACAGCTTCCCTCTCTCTTTCTCTCTCTCTCCGTATAATCTCCTGCATATTTGTTCCTCTCCAATAATATTTCTCCTATCCTCTGCTATCTTTTATCACATTTCGTTGTGTAGTTTTTTCCTGCAGTGATCGGCCTGCCTCCTGCTGATTGCCGCCGGTTTGCAAGATCCTACGAAAAGAGCATACACACACACCCTCACACACACACACACACACACACACACACACACACACGGTCATACATGTTGTGAGAAACAGGAACAGGGAAGGTGGGGGTGCTTCCGGTCTGGCTGTAGATCTCTGCGTAGGATATTTATGTGTGCGTTTCAGTGAGTGGGCCTGGTATGCATGCATGTGGAAGACATGCACATGCCGGTGAGACTTTAGCCTTACGGCTCCCACATGATGAAAGAGTCTCAGTATTAACAAACAGCGTAGGCGAGTGCTACACATTCTCATGCACACGTCAACAGGAACAAGCAAAACTCACGGAGCGCGTAAAGGAAAAGCTTGTCGCTAAAAATGTACCAAAACAAGTCGGATTTAACAATCTGCTACAAGTTAACGTGCAACCAATTTTGGTTTTCAATTCTATATTTAACTTATAAACACTGTAATGTCAAAATGTTGAGACAGCTAAAACGCTGTCTGTGTGTTTTGACCATATTTTCATGTCAATTTTAAAAATATTAATAAATTAGCCCAGAAAATGTAGATATTTTCTGGACTAATTGTCCTGTTAGCTCAGTGTTTGTGCTTGAAAGCGGCTCAAAACATTTTACGTCAGGAAATTGCAAAGGTGACTTATGATAGAGAAAGACACAAGATGAGACACTTTATTCAGAAACCCCCCGCCCTTCCTGAAGTTTAACTGGATATACAGTTGCTATATTGTTTCAGCCAGGTCTCCAACAATTGCAGGTAACTGATATGTGTCCATGGCGATGTAGAAATATAACCTTTGTATATTTGCATGAGTGTATAATGTCTAATGTCTGCGACGCCTTTATCTGCAGGCTACCTTACACCAGGCACAATAGTTAAACCAGTATCTACCACTCCCAGATATGTGTGTGTTTGTGGGGGTCAGTGGCCTAAAGGGCTGGAGAAGATGGGATCACCTTGTTGGCTAAACAAGCGCCAGCTTTGGAGGTATTTGTATGTTTATGTGTGAACTTTTTGTTGCATCTGTACAATGTTGAAACGATCAACAAGCGGGCAGGACGCTTAGACAGGACAGAGATCAAATATATTTACAAAAAGACAAACATAATAATAATTTATTTATTTTTTCTTAGAAATATGTGAAAAATTGTTTCGACCGAAAGAAGATTTAAACTCAATTTTGGAAAAATCCAAAGAAGATGAGAGAATCCATTGTTGATAATCTACTTACCGTAAAGAGTCTGTTTCTCCACAGCAGCCTCAGCAACATTGCATCTCTTCCTACCAGCATGTTTCCTTTAGCAAGCATAAGGGCGTGAAAACTGAACAGTTTGAATTATCTCTCCTGCGCATCATTGATGTAGGACAATAGACTGCTTCACTAAAAATCTTCCAGCGTTACTTTCCTCTGCTTCTGATACTTTGGCATAAACAATTCAATTTGAGAAGATTTGCTTGGACATGTTAAAATACTTTACTAGACATAAACAAAAAACAAAAAACTCTGAGATGCTACAAATATCAGACATAGTACAGATGTATGATAAATCTGAGTCACTGCTTTGTATTTCCATGACTACAGAAGCATTCATCCAATCACAGCATTACTTGTTTCCACGCTATGCAACGCATACACTCTATCTGTGCTGGAGAAAAGTCACTAAATTCTGCATTCTTAATGCTTGAAGAGACTCACAGCATCTAACACACTTTATGTTTAATTTTGTGAAAAAATTATTTCACCACCAAGGCAGAGTCACTCTAGATGGACAGTAGATCTGTAAATATGTAAATAGGAGGGTTCCCAACATGTCTAGCAATTGTAGTTAAGCGGTCTCAACATGCCTCAACACCTGCAAATTCTTTCCTGTGAGACGCAGATACACACAACGGCTGCAGAGTGCACTTCACTGCGTTGCATGTGAAGGCAACCCTTGCTTACACAAAGTTCAGCCCGTGTAGGCGTCTGCGTTGGGGGCGAGCATGTGGACAAAATCCTCCCTGTTTTTTGGGACGGAGGATGGCTGTTATGTCGTCACAGGCGCCTGAGAATGATGGGAAACAGTGCGACAGCATCTTAACTTGAGGCCTTTCCACTTTTATTCTTAACCCAAAGGTTCAAGCTGTATTGCATCTATTTTTAAAGTGCCAGTAAATTTAGAAATAACTACTGCAGGAACTCTTTGCGCCTTAAGACTTCACACTTTGTAAGCTCTGGCAGCACTTGAGCTAATACTCTTTAACAATATTTGCCCAGCCAACTGTGTGGTTCTCACTTCATTTTAGCTACAACCTTCAATTTCAAATTGTTTACATCATGCCAAGCCATTTGCACTCATGCTCGCTGTGACTCTGGTCGGGAAAAATGCATGGAATTATGAGTGGGGCATTGAGCTACGACAATGCCCTCTTCATTGCCTTGTGCCCGTTCTAACTAACCATCTCCTTATGACCAGCTGAATGGAATACCTTTCTCAGCACAACGGCTGTCTTGGTCCATGTCAAACAGATAATTGGTCATTTGATGGCTGCAGGTCAGAGGTAAAAAAAAATGCTTTACATATTTGAGAGCTTCTGCGTTTTTAGGCGTATATGTTGATTGTCTCAGTATGAACTATGCTTCCAGTGGAAGTTTGATACGTTGACAGGAGTACTCCATCACAATGCCATGAGAAAAAACATGCAAACGTTTAATTACATGTTCAATTATTGTTGGCCAATAAAACATTCAAAGAAATTTTCTAACTCTTGTGATTTCTGTGTTAGTTGTTCATTTAACAAACTTTTTTTTTCTTTTTTAAACAATGCTTAACGATGATTAGCATATTATGTACTTTCATTTAGCTGCTCAGTTTTTCTTGACTTTGAGTATTGATTTCACTCAGTCTTGTTCATGCCTTTCTAATCAGATTTGCCAGCTTTCCCCCCCTCTTTTATTACAAGTGCACAGCCATGTTCATCTGGTGCTGATTGTGGCTCTGTGTTTAGCAAACAAACCATTTCTGCTATGAATAAGAATGACAGAAGGAGCTGCCAGAAGACATGTTTGTGCAGTGGCTGGTCATGTGTGTCAGCAAAAAGCAGACAGCGATTGATGTCGAAGCGCACATATGAAAGTTTTTAAAGAGACAAAATCTATGTTTCCATGTTGGTTGCACTTTGAAAGAATGCCAACCCTTTGTCCTCTAAGAAATGATGTGCCTCAACAGAACTTTCATTAAAATGCCCATGGCAGCCCGCCCGCAGGGAACCGGGCCGGCTTTTCTATTCAAAACCAAACACTGAGCGCAATTCAAACACCACATCAATAGAAAGGAGTCCTTCCCAGGTAAACAAGAATAAGAGAAAAATGCAAACAAAGAAGTCAAACACAGTGAAGTGAACTGCTTCCAACACGGAATCAGGGACTGACAGAAGAAGCAAAGGATTACAAAACATTAAGAATACAGTGTTAAAACCAAAACATTCAATTAATTAAAAAAAAATAAATCTTAGACAAGAGGGTAAAACGGAGTGGTGCATGTGTATAGTGGTGCAGTCTACCTATGTCTAATTTTCCCTCTCTATATTTTACTTGTGGTTATTTTTTCTTTAGGAGATAAAGGAAAATTGGCCAAGGTTAATGTGAAAAATGACACTGAGAAAGGAAAGCTACAGCCTGCAAAAGACTTCAAACAACAGCGGAGGTTAACTTTTCAGCAGTTAGCGTTTGCAGAGTCTGCATTGCTCACAGATTTACTTGTGTGTATATATGCGCAGTTTTACCAAGTTTATAGGAGCTTTTAAATTGCTGTGTTTTCATTATTAATTTATTGTTCCCCACATGGAACAGATACATTCAGTTAGCTGAACTATTCTTGCTTCCTGGCTTTTAATGAGACGCTGGCATCCAAGCCTTCAGCTTCAGTGACGCCGTGTCAGATTCTTCAATTGCCATGGCAGTTCTCTGTTATTTCTCCCAGGTTCTGTGTCAGTATGTGCCCCCTTCCCAAATATCCATATATTTGTCCTCAATAAGCATCCTCCATCATGACTGCGCTTCTCTTATCTCTTGGTGATTCAGACGCTTTGAGTCTCTGTTTTGACCTCAGAGCTGGATGCAATCTGACTGAGCTCAAGGTATTTTGCAAAGAAGACTGGGGTAAAAAAAAAATTGTGATTGTATCTGTAGAAGACCTGAGGTAGACCCGACCTGCAGCAGAAGATGGTTCTATTCAGGTAAGCTGATGACAACATATTTAGTTTTAAAAAGAGTTTAAAAAACTTAAAACCATGCATATTCTTTGATCCACTTCACAAAAGAGCACTGCTTTGTGGTGACCCACATCATAAAATCCACTGTCAAATAATAGCTTCATGGGTGTAACGTGGCAAAACGCGAAAAAAACATCAAGGGTATGAATCCTTCTGCAAGGCACTCTGTGTAGGATTACTATCATATTCCATTTCCTCCTTCCCCAGATCCTGCACTCTTCCTGAACCTTCATACCCTGCTTCTGACTTTCCATCCCCTTTTCATCTCTTTAATTTCCTCTTGTCTGCCTCGAACTGAACGTCTCTCTTCCTCCCCTCCCGGCCCTTTCTCCTTCCACATGTGAGGAAACACTTTTCCCACAAAAACCTCAAATACATTCACGCACACGCAAATTCATTTCCTAGAGTCACTCAGTTAAAGCAGAACTACTGCTCAGTTAAACCATCATTGGATTGTGTGTCCTCATATCCCGCCGTTACGCACTCACGCACAGCTCCCGAGCCCAGATCCAACCAGAGACCACACCCTGCTTCAGGTCTCAAGCCCTCCCACACGCGCTCGCGACAGCCGGGGTCAGAGAGCGCGAGCCTATTGGACTTTTTTGGGGGTCTGTTTTGGAGGAGTGGGCTTCGAGTAAAGATTCCTGCTGTGTAGCTTTTGGAGGCAGTTTTCTTTCTCTAACACGTCTCTTTCCTTCTTTTCTGGAAACTTTACCCAAATTTGCTTCCTCTACGTCCCAAACTCGGTGAGTAAACTTAAAATTGGTTATGTTTGGTTTACTGAAATGTTGAGCAAAATTGGGCACGTTTTGCGTGCAATTCTCAGTTTATTCAGATATAAAGTTGAGTTTTTCAAATTCTTTGAGAGAAACTTGCGCTCTAAACTTAGTAATCCATCTATTTTGTAAAGGTTTATTGTCATGTTTAGGCTCTTGAAAAGTCCCTTTCTGTCCATTTCGCCCGCGGATATTTTTGTTAAGCTCGTAACTGAGGCGCTCAAGATGAAAGGGGTGTTGTCAGTGTGTGTGTGTGTGTGTGTGTGTGTGTGTGTGTGTGTGTGTGTCTTTTAGGGAAACGTAGCCCAAAGTGAATTAATGTCTGGTGCGTTGTGAAGGAAGAGAAAGCTTTTTTTTTTTTTCTTAAGTTGATGCAGGAAATTTGCAGGTTCCTCAGCAACTCAAAGTGGCAGACGTTTCGCTTTTTTAGATTAGTTTAATCAAAAATAGTTTATTTCTATCCAAGTTTTCTAAGTTTATTCTTATGACATATTTAAAACATTGTTTTGTCCAAAGTATCCACAATTTAAATAATCAATAACGCAATCAGCAAATATAAACTACAGTAAAATACCTGCAAAATACATCAAAATACAATAACTCTTAAAAAAAACACGATGATGCACAATAAAATAAATATGATTTTATGTAATTCATTATTTTAGGGGCTTGTTAAGTTTAACTCCGGTGATTAATGCCCTACTCATGACTAGTTGTGAAATTACCACTAGCATACATAAGTTATATAAAAGACCCATATATAATGGAGTTGTTTTTGCAATGTGTCCCAATGCATAACGGTGCACGTCTTTCACTTTGTATGTGGCAGTCCATCACTATCGCAGTCTCCCGTTACTTAGGGCGCCCTCTTGTGGATAAAATGTATTTGAGACACAGCCTGGATCAGTAAAGATAGTCTCTGTAAAGCTAAATGTTGCCTTAATGTTACATGTTGTTGACATAAACCAAGTTGAAATTCTCATACAATAACATTGACTAAATTTAGCATGATTTACACAAACGTTAAAACGAATCTAATCACGTTTTTGAGACAGTGAGACAATAATTTTTCCTCTGTTTCTGTTAACATAAAGTAGTGTATTGTTTGTTACTGTTATGATGACATTATTTATAATTTTTCTTTATTGTTAATAGGATTTTGAAACAGAAAATTTAAATGAACAACTGAATTTAGTCATTCCTTTATGCTATTCTGCTAATCACAGACTACACACAAGCGGAGGAGTGAGCTGCAGGTAAAAACGATGGGTGGGACGTCCTTCGTGTCTCCTTCCCGCTGAGGCGTACATCAACTTTATGGTTAGGGAGGATGTAATGATATCACACATGGTCCATTGACTTGGAGACTGATAAAAATCACTACTTGTGACCAACACAAGACTTATAGTACCTTACATTTGCCGTCACACTAGAATGACGTCTAACTTTCTCTAGTATATCATTAGACAGACTTTAAAGTGAACTAATGGGTTGATTAAAAATTGGATTGATTCAAAACCATTTACCTTCTGATTGCTCACTGTCCTAACGTGTCGCTTAATTTAAAGTTCAGTTGCAAACACATGCAGATATTTTGTAAATTTCAGTGTGCACTTCAGCAACTTATGCAGAAAGAAAGATTGCTCAGTTTAGATTAGACCTGTTAACTCCAGATCTGAGTTTCACACTGACACTGAACAGTGTTGGCTTACATCTACAAGAAGCACCTCAAACTTTCCTTAGATGGAAGAATAACTCAAGCAACCTATGAGCATCACCTCAAAATCCAGAAAAAACACTTAACCCAACAGTTTCATTACATTTGCATCTTATTAAATTAAGTAAATATTCAGTCCTAATTCTGTGGGTCATACTTGTTTTTTAAGCACTTTCTTTTCTTCTAAACCTCTGAACCAGACACCTTCAAAATTTGAGTCCAGTACATTGCACTTTAACTGGTCCTCCTAGTGATCCCAACTTATGTGAGATAATTTAAAGCTCCACCTGTGTAGCTATGGACAGATTTCTCACCTGTCCCTTTATCATCCTCACCCATAAGACAAGACATTGCATATTCCTTCCATCTCTGAATAATCGCTCTCAACAAGACTCTCACTCTCAAAGGGCATTTTAATGTTCCTCCAATCTACTGTCTTGTCCAAGACGTCCATTGTGATGGCAGGTGTTGGCATGTGAGAGCATCTGATAAGAGAAAGGTGTGAATTTGACAAATGGGATACTAAACACCCAGGTATGTAGAAGGCTGTAATCCTGGGCTGACAGATATACAGCCTCTGAACAAGTGTAGAGCATTTAGGGGAAGAACAAAGGCAGACAACGGGGGGATAATAAACAGGTGGAGATGGAGATGAAAGTAGAGTTCTTCTTTCTGTCTCACTATGCCATGTGGAAGTCATTACTCAAGGCTGTCACATGAGGAATGTAGGGGAAAAAGACACAGACACATAAAAGTCTTGTTGGCAATCGACTTGAAGGAATTCCTATGTCAGAGGGAGGTCTAAGCAGAGGAGGAAAACAGTTGTGTGTATTTATGTGTGTGGATTGTTTTTTTAGGCACCTTTTCAGCCATCAAGACTGTAATGGCTACATTACTCTAGTATCTACAGACCTACGCCAATTAACTGTTTTATTTACGTTCATATACAGAAGCATGACATATCACTGGCGGTTGTTTTATGACTTAAAAAGAACACTGGCTGTAATTTTCTCTTAATCAGCTGTTCATCTGTTCAGTCGCTGCATGCTAGCTGTTTGTGGTGGTGGCTCTTGCATGCATGGTGCCTTCGGCCAGTGACTCCTTCTGTTGCCCTCCAACCAATTAAAACGCAGGAACTTATCTGAGGCTATAAGGTAGGATAAAATGCGGTGCATTTCCATTTACATCTACATCCCCTTTGAAATGCCACCCTGAGCAACTGCCTATAAGGCTTATATCAAAAATTGCCACTGACTGTTATTATTTACAAACAGCTCATTTCATTGTAACGTATTAGTAAAAAAAAATCTTTAATTAAATTCCCTTAATTTTGTAATAAGAAATAGTTAATAATATGAATACACAGGGAGAAAGCTTTAGAATAATAATCAATCCTGTTTGGCTTGGTTCTTAAAAATTCTCTATTAATACTTCATCAGTTGAAGTATTAATTGTGATACTTCTCAATTTTTTTAAACTTCGTCCAGTACTGTCTGGAAGCTGGAGCCTAAAGGTTAAACGTCTTGTTTACTGTTTATTGTAAGAACATTAAGCATTAAATGTCAAGAAGTAAAACAGTTGTCCTTACTGAAAATAAACGAGGAGCGGAATGAGGTTGCAGCTGAGGCTACGTCCAGAAAAAGAAAATAAATGGAAAGCCAAAGCGTTTTTCCCATCGCTGTAATGCACATTAAGACTTCTTAAAAAGTGGTAAAATGCCTTTAAAGATCGAACATCTAGAGGAATTACCAGCATTTTTAGGTTTTTACATGTTTATGTAATCTCAATTGTCTAACATTAATAACTACTGAGTAGTAGTATTCTAAGAGAGAACAACACTCTTCACCATCTTATGAAGATTTCATAAAATTGAATATGGAAACTCTTTTTTTCTACATTAATAGTACTAATGAAGTCAGGATATGTATGGCAAGGCAAGTATGAAAATAATGACCTTCTATGTCTGGATACATGTGTAAAAAATAAAAATGAATTTGTAAAAATATTTAGATATTTAGGCTTCATACATTTACAGTAAACTTTTGTAATCAAACTTCATGCATGAAGAAATCTGAAGCACTGATGTGCTAGAAGCTAGAGCTGTGAAATCTGCAATTCCTAAACAAATTGAAAGAAGATTCTTCACTTAACTAAGCTTGTCTTTTAATATGGCACAATCAAGTTGACATATTACAGAAAATTTGGTCTAGAAATTGTGCCTATCCTGTGATCACATCCTCTGGACGAACTGTTAAATCTTTGTCCAGAGAAAAGTAAGTGTTTTACCATCTGTCATGCAGTTCAGAAAACCTTTTCCTCTTCTTAGAGGAAAAGGTTCAAGCACTTACTTGCCTCTTCTACTCTTATTGTGGTCTATTCCACAAAAAAGTGTTAGAAATTACATGCATTAAACTGCTTTTACCTATGACTCTGCAGCTTTGTGTGTGTATATGCTGGCTGCTGATGCTATAAAAATGTACTAATGAAGATGAAAAATTACACAGGTTATGTCTGAGAAAAAAAACTGTTGGAAGTATTTTTCAATTTTAATAATGTTTCCACCTCGGCTGTATAAAAGCCATTGCACCCTTCTTTGCTTTGCCAGTGGATTCTATTGTTTAGAATCAGCTCTGCGTGGCCTAAAGGTGAAACACTATGGAGCAGATGCTTGTTTCTAAAAGAAGGCGCTGGAGCCGACTTGGAGTAACTGAGATTGATCAGTTTTACCCAAGACTTGACAGCTCAGTTATAGTCCCAGTGAGTGCAGATAACAAAGTCAGCCCAGCTGGTAAATAACAAAGCAGCTTAATTATCTCAGAAGCTTGTGTTTAACAGAAAGTGTGGTTCGGCGCAGCCCACAGATTATAGCGTACCGTCACATTCTTGTGGTCGCAGCTCGCTGCCTTGCTCTCTTGGATGTTGTAGTAGTTGCTGACTGTAACTCTGGTGCTGTGTATGTTATGGCCTTCAGAGCTCTGAAGACTGTCACGTTTCTACTTGCAATAACAATTCTGCAGTTATTGTTGAGGAAATTGTTAAATATGCTACTTTTAGATCTAATGAGCACGCCTTAACTGCAAAGGCTAAAAAAAGAAAACAAAAAACATGAGTGACCAATTCTTGAGCCAGTGAATGAATGGTCATTTCCTTTCAAGTAGTCTCATGTTTGTTTCTTTACTCTTTCTTTAATTATTATTATTATTATTATTATTATTATTATTATTATTATTATTATTATTATTATTATTGAATC